CACTTTCTTTTCCCCCCTGCTCTATGCTAGCAGCTGGAGAAAAATGCTCAACCTTTACCTTCTCCCTTTCAGTTTCTCTGGGAGAGCTGCCAATTCTTAGCTTTGTTTCAACTGCCTTATCAGGTATGCTCGGCAGTAAAACTTTTCCTGGCAGCAGGTTTGCATGTATCTTGGGCCAATTTCTTTGCTCATTAAAGCTGGCTGATCGACTATAACTCAAAAGGTTTTTATCATCTTCAAACCTGTAGGCTTTCGTACCACTTTCATACCCAAGAAACAGCAACTGCTGTGCCCTTTTCCCACCTTTTCTTTGGTTTTTCACAGGTATGTCAACCCATGCCTTTGTCTCAAAGATTCTTAAATGTTGCAAACTGGGACTTTTGTTATAGAGAATTTTATAGGGTATGTCATCTAGTACCCTTGACCACAAGCGATTCCCAATATAGTTCGCAGTCTTAATACTTTCAGCCCAGTACTTAATTGGAAGATTTGCATCTGCTAATAATGCTTTCATTTGTGTTTGCAAGACACCTCCCCTACGCTCTGCTACCCCGTTCTCCTGAGGCGTGGCCACATTGGTAAGCCTATGTTTAATCCCTTGGGAACGCAACCAGTTTCTTAGGGAGCTTGCCATAAACTCTCCTCCCCTGTCTGATTGAATAGAGCACACCTTTTCACCAAGTTGCCTTTCTACCCTTCTTACCCAGAACTTCAAAGTTTGGGCAACGTCAGACTTTTGCTTTAAAGGATAGACCCAGCCAAATCTAGAAAAATCATCCACTAGGATCAAACAGTACTTGTTATGGGAGACACTTGGTGGAAAAGGACCAGTTACATCAGCATGAATCAACTCCAGTGGTTTTTTGGTTTCTCTTTGGCTTGCTCTTGCTACTGGGCAAGCCCTGCTTTTAACCTCCTTGCAGATAATGCAGTCTAAGTAATTATCACAACTTTTTATGTTTTTCATCCCCCCACACAACTCCAATGTTTTGTTCAGCACCTTATAGCTTGCATGAGCCAGACGCCTGTGCAGGAGATGAATACACATATCATGGGTTGGGACATTTTGCACATTCGCAACCTTAGACTCACACTGCAGTACATACATATTAGTTCTAAGGTTAGCATTTGCCAACACTGCCCCATTTTGCTTTATCTGGCACTGATCTCCCACAAAGTTTACTTCAAAGCCTGCTTTTGCCAAGTCTGGAATGCTCAGGAGATTGTTTTGCAAACTAGGCACACACAACACATTCCTGAATGTGTGTCCCAGCTGTGGGAACACAACCTCCCCCTCACAAACCACATTAGCTTTCTGGCCCGTAGCAAGACTTACATGTTTTTTGTTTGAAGCCCTAGCATCAGTTAGCAATGCTTTTCTTTTACAAAAGGTTTGAGAAGCTCCACTGTCCAGAACCCACAGCTCTTCATTTTCTTGACCATCTGCAGACACCCAAGCGGTAGACTCCCTCTGCTGCCGCTTGTGCTTCTGCTGTTTTTGTTGTTTTCTCGGGCAGTCCCGAAGCAGATGTCCACTGGACTTGCAGCAAAAACACCTTTTTACTTTGTTGACCACCGGCTGGTCTGCAGCAGCTCCTCCTGGCTGTTTCTCCGGCTCCCGACACCTCTGCTCTTCCCGGCTGTTGTTCCCTCTGGGATGCTCCAACAGCTGGGCTGAGGTCATCTTTCGCTCTGCACGCCTGTCCTCCTCTGCATACAACCGTCCGGTCACGTATTCCAGAGTCAGCTTATCAGTCTCTACAGACTCGAGGGAGTTGACCAGCATATCATAGCTGTCATCAAGGGAACTCAGGACTATAAAAACTTTGTCCTCTTCCCCCACAGGCTTCCCTCTTAAGGCTAGCTCCTGGAAACAGCCTGTTAGGAATTTTAGGTGGTTTACCAGGGAGTCCCCCGGTTTCTTCCGACACCGGTACAGTCTCCTGGTCAGTGTTATCAGTGAGCCAGCTGTCTCTCGCACATGGACAGCCTTGAGCGCATTCCACGCCTCACTTGCCGTCACCTTATCAGCTACGTAGACTAGCTGGCTGTCGTCCACTCCAAGGATGATCGTAGCCAAAGCTTTCTCATCCCTTTCATCCTCCTCAGAGGGCTGCGGTGGATCTTCCACCACTTTCCACAGGCCCTCACGCTTGAGGAAGTGTTGCATGCGGACCGACCAGGTGCTGTAGTTCGTGGCCGTCAGGTTCTCCAGCAACACGCCAGTTCTGGACTGCTCCATCCCTGCAGCTCACCTCCAGCACCCACGGCTAGATAACTGCCACCTGTACTCTTGCGCAGCGGAAGCGTGCTGGGCCCATAACCCTGTCGCGTATTCCACGCGGCGTTTTCAGCAAAGCATTAAGAGTTCCAGGTTTTTTTTCAGTGCAGTCCTTTTTAATGTGAGCTATATACAGGCATTTACAAAAGAAACAGTCCATACAGAGTACTTACAAACGAATACTCTCCACCACAGCACCACCACACTACAGCACAACCACCACACTACAGCACAACCACCACACTCACTGTTAAACAGGCTTCCCTTTTTAAAACAGGTGATAGCCAATTACACTAATCACACTCTTGCTGAGTCACTCTGACCCAGCAGAGTATTGCATCATCCTGTTGAAGCCTGCAGACTTATCCAGTATCCTGCGAATCCCAACAGTATGCTCCTGGTGTAGGTGTACCATGCTCTGTTCCTGAGCAGAAAATACCAAGACACTTGTAAAGTAGCTACATATGTTCACATGAAAGGGCTGCACAGGATATCTTCAAAAGAGGGATGGGGAACCTCTGCCCCTGAGTCCTTCAACATTGTTGTGTAGCCTTATTAGACTATACCGATTGGTGGGGTCTGCATTGCTCCCAGGAGGGAGAAAGGAAGTCAAATGACACCGAGGTTGATTCAGAAAAAGAGTTTATGCTGCTCTCCAGATAGCAGAAGGCATTTGTGTGGTCAGTTCACAGCAAGTCCAAAGAAATGAGAAATTTCATGCAGTATATATATCCTAGAAGGCACCCTCTCCCCCCTTCCCCAGGAATCCAACCACATCAGCTTATACACGTAAGTTGACATCCATGACCATAAACAGATATTCCTGTTCTGGTACTCTTGACCATAAAAGGTTGTTCCTGTTCCTATACTCTTATCTTGGGGCAGGATGTCACCAACTCTAAGAGCACTCCTGGCGCCGTTCCCGGGTCTCTTGTCAGACCTGACAAGGTCTGTGCGTCTTTGTGGTCAGGATGTAAGATAAGACCCAGACGTGCCATCCCTGCTCCACTCGGAACTGGCAAGGCCATCCATTGCTGTCATGGACTGATAAAGGAGAGGGCTTTGAGCACTTGTTTATACAGCTGGCTTTCTGTTTATACATTGACTCAAGAGCTCAAGTTAATGCGTTTTAGAAATGCTCCCTTGGAGGAGGAAAAATGAGGATTTTGGGTCCCGTTTCAGACTGCACAGAAACCCATTCCTTCCCCCTTCAGTTGGACTCAAGCTCTCATCATTGGGAGTTGAAGTCCAACCATTTCTGGATGGTCTCAGGTTCCCACTCCTACTTTAGAGGCCAAAAACCCAGAAGGAGAGCACCTAAGTTGGCATGCAAAAGGTCCAGACTTCAATCTCTGCCATTTCCAGTTCAATGGAGCTCGAGGAGCAAGGCTGAGACCTTGGAGAGTTACTATCACACAGTTGGAGCAGACCATGCTGGCTAGATCAAGGGCCTGACTGCGCTTGATTATTTCTTTCTTTTTTTAAAAAAAAAGATTCTAGAAACTTGCAATCCAGAATATTTATTTTGTTAAGCTGCATTTTAATGCAGCATTTACATAGTGTGGATAAGCATTATCTTTCTTTGTATTCCCAACACATTTACATAGTTGATTGCTTCAGAACTGCCTGGCCAACAACCAAGGCAAATCTAAGAAACTAGCTGCACCTCAAAGACTAACAAAATTATAATGAGATAAGCTTTTGTAGACTATCGTACACTTCATCAGAAGAAGGAAGTATTATTGTGAGTTGCAGGGCTCTTTGCGTGTGAGAGAGAAAGAGAGCGAGAGCGAGAGAGAGGTGATTGATATATGATAGAAGATTAGATAGATGATAGATGATGATGATGATAGATATAGATAGATAGATAGATAGATAGATAGATAGATAGATAGATAGATAGATAGATAGATGATAGATAGATAGATGATAGATAGATAGATAGATAGAGATAGATAGATAGATAGATAGATAGATAGATAGATAGATGATAGATAGATGATAGATAGATGATAGATAGATGATAGATAGATAGATGATAGATGATTGATAGATGATAGATAGATGATAGATAGATAGATGATAGATAGATAGATAGATAGATAGATGATAGATAGATGATAGATATAGATAGATAGATTAGATAGATAGATAGATAGATAGATGATAGAATAGATAGATGATAGATAGATAGATAGATAGATAGATGATAGATAGATAGATAGATAGATAGATAGATGATAGATGATAGATATAGATGGATAGATGATAGATGATGATAGGTAGATGATAGATAGATAGATAGATAGATAGATAGATAGATAGATGATAGATAGATAGATAGATAGATAGATAGATAGATAGATAGATAGATGATAGATAGATAGATATAGATATAGACGATAGACAGACAGATGATAGATAATAGATGATATAGATAGATGATAGATGATAGATAGATAGGTAGGTAGATAGATGATAGATAGATAGATAGATATTGATAGATATAGATGGATAAATAGATGATAGATGGTGATAGATAGATAGATAGATTAGATAGATAGATAGATAGATAGATAGATAGACAGACAGACATATAGATGATAGACAGACAGACAGACAGACAGACAGACAAACAGAGATGATAGAAAAGCAATTCTGAATCTGGAATAAGATTTTGGATATAGGAGATACGCATTTTTGCCTAACCATCCCTTACCTTCCTTTCTCAACCAAAAGCAGGACATCTATTTTTTCTCCGTTTTGGATTATGCTGCTGATTGCTGAAAAATGGACAAAGAAACCAAACCATTTACAATTGCCTAATGGAAGTTTAAAACAGACACATAGCATTTAAAAAAGCAGAATCAATCTTTTGGAAGTTATACTGCAAAACAGCAACAGCAGCTGAGCCTGGAAATCTGCTTTAATAATCATTAGTCTCTGGGTAAGCATTAAATGGAAGCTGGCATCTAGTAAAGGTGAAACAGGCAGCCCTCTCTTTGAGTAATAATGAAGACAAGTAAAGCAATGAATATGTTTCCTATTAAGGACAGTCAAGTGAAGTCAACAGAAATATTTCAGCTCTTAGGTTGGGAACTATATACAAAGGGGAGAGGGGTACATAAAGGTTGGGGTTCTATGGCAGTGGAATTCAAAAAGTACCGTATTTTTTGCTCTATAAGACTCACTTTTTCCCTCCTAAAAAGTAAGGGGAAATGTGTGTGTGTCTTATGGAGTGAATGCAGGCTGCACGGCTATCCCAGAAGCCAGAACAGCAAGAGGGATTGCTGCTTTTGCTGCGCCGCGATCCTTCTTGCTCTTCTGGCTTCTGAGATTCAGAATATTTTTTTTCTTGTTTTCCTCCTCCAAAAACTAGGTGCGTCTGGTGGTCTGGTGCGTCTTATAGAGCGAAAAATATGGTACACACTGTGGCAATTCAGTTGGATCCCAAATGTATGGAAACTTCCCCTTCCTAGCAGGAACAATTGTTGATAATGCAATCATTTAGACCAGCTGAATAAATTAACATTTCTATAGCGGGACAAGAAACCGTTAAGACCCTTGGAATTTGGTGAACTCTCCTTCGTTGGAGGTTTTTAAGCAGAGGTTTGATGGTCATCTGTCATGGGTGCTTTAGTTGAGATTTGTGCAGTGCAGGGAGTTGGACTAGATGAAATAATGCCTCTTCATTCATGATACCAAAATATATGTGTGTGTGTGTCTATCTATCTATTCATATACCGTATTTTTCGCTCTATAACACGCACCCGACCATAACACACACGTAGTTTCGTTGTCCCCGAGAGGGGGCAATGACAATAAAGATATTATTATTATTATTATTATTATTATTATTATTATTAGTTTTTAGAGGAGGAAAATCCGTAGGCATGCCACCCGTATGCATTGCCTCCATAATACACACAGACATTTCCCCTTACTTTTTAGGAGGAAAAAAGTGAGTGTTATGGTGCAAAAAATATGGTATCTACTCTATCTATCTATCATCTATCTATCTATCTATCTATCTATCTATCTATCTATCTATCTATCATCTATCATCTATCTATCTATCTATCTATCTATCTATCATCTATCTATCTATCATCTATCTAATTAACTCACACAGTTCACCCATTACCATATCAGTGTGGGAGTCACTTTGTCATAGTTTGGAAATTTGGGTATTATTGTAATCAGTTCCTTCTCATGTGAATGAGAATGACATCATGCAGGAAGAAGCTATGTCATTGGCCTTGTCCGCATTTCCTTTATCCATGCATTGCTCATGAAGAGTGGGAAGAAGTTACAGAGAAGTGACTCCCATACCACTGGATACACAGTTATGGAAGTTTATTACGCCAACACACACAGAGACACACACAGCATCTCTGTGTGCCTTGCCCTTCAAGCAAGCAAACTTCTATGAACTAGCTCTTAACCCATGATGTTTCCAAAGTCTTACTTAACTCCTGGAGCCTCCGTAGATACATGGAATCCTCCTGAGAGTTTTCCGGTTCCAGGCAAAAATACAGGCTTGACTTCTCTACGGCAAACCAGCCTTTCTTCCAGTTATCAAGGTTCTGGCAGTCTTTGTAGTACAGCTGGCCAATCAGATCGTAGTCCCTTTCCAAAAGACATTTGCCAATGATGGGTACAAAGTGCTATTCCAAATGAAAATAAAGAAAATAAGTGAACATAAAAATCAATACTAGAAACTAAATCAGTGCCGGATTTACGTATAAGCTAAACAAGCTATAGCTTAGGGCCCCCTCTCTTACTGCACCCCCAAAAATATACCGTATTTTTCGCTTCATAAGGCGCACCGGACCATAGGGCGCACCTAAAAATCTTATTCCCCCCCAGCCCCAAAGAGCAGCGTACAGGCTGTGCGCAACCTCTACCTGCCAGAGGGGTTGCGCGCGGCTGTGGCACAAGCCAAGACAGCGAGCAGGATGAATCCCCCTCGCTGTTTTGGCTTTCTCTTTAGCCGCGCGCAACCTCTCCCTTCCAGAAGGGTTGCGCACAGCAATGGCACAAGCCAAGACAGCGAGTGGGATGGATCCTGCTTGCTGTCTTCGCTTGTGCCATAGCCGCGTGCAACCCCTCCGGCAGAGAGAGGCTGGAGGGGCTAAAGAAGCCATAGCCACATGAAGCCTCTCCCTGCTGGAGGGGCTGCACGCAGCTATCCCTGAAGCCTTCCAAGCGCAGCACAAGTTCCCGCTGCGCTCCTCAGGCTTTGGGTTCCTTTTGCTGAAGCCGGGAGAGCAAGACTCTCTTGGCTTCAGCGAAAGGAACCTAAAGCCTCCAGAACGCAGCAGGGACTCACGCTGCGCTCCAAAGGCTTCAGGTGGCTATCCCTGAAGCCTGGAGAGCAAGAGGGCATACCGACGCCTCTCGCTCTCCAGGCTTCAGCGAAAGCAACGCAAAGCCTCTGGAGCGCGGAGGGAGCGCTCCCTCTGCACTTCGGAGGCTTCGCGTTGCTATCGCTGAACCCAAGGAGCCTGCATTCGCTCCATAGGATGCACACACATTTTCCCTTAATTTTTGGAGGAGAAAAAGTGTGTCCTATAGAGCGAAAAATACAGTACTTCTTAATTGTATTTCAGTTCAACAATTACTTTGATAAAATACATATTTTGTTATGTGCAAATGGCTTTAGGTATCTATGAGGTCCATAAATTACCATATAGCATATATTCAACGCAAAAAACAGTGACAATTTGTTGTTGACAAAGGACAGCTCGACATATAAAGGGCCCCATTACCTTCAGTAGCTTAGGGCCTCATCAAACCTAAATCTGGCCCTGCACTAAATGCCGCATGACCTGTTGAGTTTTAAGTAAAATTCAGATTGACTTTACTTCCCAAATATTGAAATGGTCCATGGCCTGTTTCTTAACTTTAAAATAATTATAGCTTGACTTTACATCACATATATCAGAGGCTCAAGGTCGCTTAAAAATAAAAGTGACACACAACAGAATTTTTTAACGCACAGTAAAAACCAGCATAGAAAAACAATTAGCAGAACTATACTGATGATACTGCAACTCAGTCTTTAGATGACCTCGATCAGAGGACTTGGGCATTTGTTAAATAGCAGGGTTTGTTTGTTTTCAAGCAATGAGGGTATTTTGAGACATCAGAAATCAGTGCCTCCTCATCCTGATTCCCCTTAATGTGTCCAACCAGTGTTTTTGAATACAGTTATTACCTTAAAATTCAAGATTATTGGTGGGGTTTTTTAAAAAAGCTTGAATTCTGATCTATGTTTTACGCCTGCTTCAGAAGCAATTATAACAACAGATATTTTCCATTAAGAAGTTGTAGGCGGAAACACATTTTCACATTCTCCAGATCCAAATTCACTTGTACTGAAACCTGGTTTCTCCCAAGATTCTAAGCTAATAGCGCCAACTTCACACGCAGTGCAAATGCTCTTGACTTATCTGGAATGGATAATTACCTTAGCAATTGCCTGAGTCCATTTTCTTTGAGTATGCGCAGCTTCAGCACAGAAGAGAAACACACGTTCTGACAGTAAGTAGATTTCAAAGGCAAATGTAGCTCTAAAACCACCAAGGACAAGGAGAGTCAATGCTATTTAGTATAATCCTCATAAAAGCGAAGTAACAAACGTTTCAATTATTCCCCCAGATTTCCCTGTGTTGTTCTCATAATTGAAAAAGGGGAAAGCAGGTTGTAAGAGTGACACCAACTAAAAGGTTTTATTTATGATTTATGTGTTTTCAAACAATATAAAATTAATCGCTCATCTGACTGTTTAACGAAGAGGGAATGGATGACAGGTAAGTGGTAGGAGGATATGCAAGTTTAAAAGAGAAGAAGATGGGACTAACGGGTTGTGGGTGGGTGAAGTTGAGTATTCAGTATATTCGTTAATTTTACTGCCACTCAGGTTATTTCAAGTTGAAGGTAGATCAAAAGTGATTGAATCCCCTGGGGTAGCTCAGTTGATAGAGCATGAGACAGCTGGTAGAGCATGAGGCTCTCAGGGTTGCAGGATCAAGCCCCATGTTGGGCAAAAATATTCCTGCATTTGGAATATTGGACTAGGTGACCCTTCCAACGCTACAATTCTGATTCTGAATCGTAAAGGGGCATGTCAAGGCACTGCCAAGGCTTCGGGAAGCTATTCCTCCCCCAGTTGCAGCAAGAGCAGAGAAAACAAGGAGAGGCCTTTTTTAAATGAGTTTTATTCACTCCTAATAAAAGGTAAAGGACCCCTGACCCTTAGGTCCAGTCATGGCTGACTCTGGGGTTGCGGCGCTCATCTCGCTTTATTGGCTGAGGGAGCCGGCGTACAGCTTCCGGGTCATGTAGCCAGTATGACTTAAGCCGCTTCTGGCAAACCAGAGCAGCACACATGGAAGCGCCGTTTACCTTCCCGCTGGAGCGGTACCTATTTATCTACTTGCACTTTGACGTGCTTTCGAACTGCTAGGTTGTTGCAAAGTATTGGAAGACACAAGATCTACCCACTCTGGAAGAATGGCAGATGAAGGTGATTGACTACATGGAATTGGCAGAAATGACTGGCAGAATCCGTGACCAGGGAGAAGAGTCGGTGGAAGAAGACTGGAAGAAATTTAAAGACTACTTGCAGAAATACTGTAAAATTAAGGAAGGTTAAAATGATGTTGGATGGAGAATAAGTAGTATTGGTAAAAAGTATTTTAAGAATATGCAAGTATGGACTGATAATGGTTAAAAATACATATCTATAATAGGTTAAGATACTGAGTTATGACAAATGATAGAGGGTAAGGATTTGCTGAAAGGATTTTTTTTTTAAACGGGAATACAAAAGGGGAGGTGTGAGGAGGTCAAAGAATTAAGGAAATGAGATTAAGGATTATTGAAAGATGGAGTTAATTTTAATTTTTTTCTGCTTTTTCTGCTTTCTTTTTTTTTTATTCAGCTATTACGATTTTTTCCTTTTTCATATATTCTTTCTATGTGTGTTTTCTCTTTAGTTTGTTAATTTTTTCTATTTTGTAAACCTATGATTTTGTAAACGTTATTGTGTAATTCTATGTTTGTGTTTAAAATCTTAATAAATATTTTATTAAAAAAAAAACCACACAAACTGCTAGGTTGGCAGGAGCAGGGACCAAGCAACGGGAGCTCACCCCATCGCGGGGATTCGAACCGCCGACCTTCTGATCAGCAAGTCCTAGGCTCTGTGGTTTAACCCACAGCGCCACCCGCGTCCCATTCAGTCCTAATAGCAAGAGACAAAAGAACACAACCAGCCTTAACATGGCATTGCCCAAACTGGGCTCCTCCTCCCTTTTTCCTAGCAACAGTAACTTCTCTGACAGTGGCTCCTTGTGGTCAAATGCCTTTGAGCCCTTTGTTCCTGTACTCTTAAACAAACGTCGCCTTCTGGGAGAAGGGGGATCAGAAATACTTTCCAGTGACAACGTGTCAGCTGGCTGCCCTACCACAGTTCCCTCCCCCCTTCTTCTAACACTGCCCAATTCCTTTGTTCACCTATCTCTGAGCTGGGACTTCCCTCGGGCTCTTTAAACTCCTGCTATAAATCAAATCTGCATTCCTCTTCTCCTGCAGCATTATTCTGAGTACTATTCTGCTTGCCCATTCTCTTCCGTAAACATTCCCCAGACCGCTTTATTTCTCCAGCTAAGTTCTGAAAGCTGAATTAAGCGAGAAAGGGTGTTTCTTACATTGGAGGGGAGGGTCATTTTGCAGGTGGCAAATCGGTCAGTGCAGGAAGAGTTAAATAACTCTTGCCAATTCTTCTCTGTAACTGTCCCTCCATGCCGCCCCTACAAACACATTATCTTCTATGTTTTGGAATAGGTGTCTGCATCATAGCTCTGCATTCTGCTTCCCCATCTGGAGAGAGCAGCGTTAGGCTATCTCAGCTGCCAGTTCTGGTTTTAAAAGGCCTGGAGGGATCTCGGGAAAAGCAAAGGAGAATGTAGTCACAGCAGCTCTTGAAGCCAGCAGTTATAGATGGGAGGGAAGCAGCACATGCAACAAGAGCAGGGGATAAATATTTGTTTACCAAGTCCCCAAACCAACCGTGCTTTGGGGAGAATATATTTCAAATAAGATTATTTAAGAGGGTTTTTGGGGATGATCCAGAACTTACCCCATGTGTGAAAAGGAGTTTGCTTTGTGAATGACAAGGCAGATGACTTCATTAAGGTCAATCATCCCATTGGGGGAGGCAGTCTTCTCATTTTCATAGTAGCTCAAATAGCGACTTTCCAAAGCACACCATCTCTTATTGCATTCTGCATTTATGTTAAAAAGGAAAAGGGGGAGATGCATGAGTCTATAGATCAAGGAAATAGTGCATAGCAAAGTTTCCATATTTTTCTGTTTATAACACTAGGTTATCGTCATGAAAAATTATTCCAAAAACTGGGGCTCATCTTATACATGGGTAGTCGAGAGGTGGGATTGTGATTGTTAGCTGCTGTGAGCAGGAGTTTATCAGCAGAGTTTTTGTGGCAGAATAGTGGATGCATCAAGGTCCTCCGGCTATTGGCTACAGCGGCAATTGGGTGGGAGATTGGCGCTTGCTTTCTGTGATCATGCAGATGATTGGCGGTTTGTTCACTGTCCTCTGTGTGATTGGCTTCTGTGGCTCTGCGGGTGAGCGATTTTCGGCACCCCCTCCAAATAAAGCTCCACAAGTGTGGGCAATCTTCCCCCCCAGAAAGCTCAAAACTCTTGGCAATCTCCCCCCATTTTCTCAATTTTGAGTCCCAAAAAGGAGGGGCATCTTATACATGGGGGTGTCTTATAGACGGAAAAGTACGGTAATACTGAAAAAAGACTCTTGCAAAACTTAAGGCTTTCATTTTCTTTTGCCAACTAATATCTGTGATATTAGTTCAATAAAAGGTAGTTTTCAAAGGAGGAGGAGATGCACTTTAAGAAACACAATTTGGGAAACATAATTTGGCTTTCTTTGCAGAGAGTATCTCTCAAAGTAGAATTAAATAAAGCCACAGCAAATGCGCTGGCAGAGTTTTATCTTCTTAATAACAGGTAAAAGTACCATGTAGAGCTACTCAAATGTTCAACATATCTCCACTCTGGTATACATGCAGATAGTTCAATGTACACACAGGTCTAATCCACATATGCAGCAGAATGATGTGAGAATGAGGTGGAAGAACAACCTCCCCTAGATTAGTATCCTTCAGATTTTTTTCAGACTACAACTCCCATCAGCCCCAGCCAACATGGCTAATGGTCAGGGATGCTGGGAATTGGAGTCCAATGACTTCTGGAAGGCCCCAGGTTGAAGAAGTCTGCGGCAGAGCTGGTAGATTTGACCAGGCCAATTCAGACACCAGAAGAGGACTACATTTTTTAATGCTCTGTGTCATAAGAGGATGTCTGCAAATACAAACTAGTACAAGACAGGGCTGTATTTGTAGTTATTACTTGAAAAGTAGTTTATTTTTATGAGGAGTTTCAACCAGCTCCCATCGTCGCTCCTGCACATCACAAAAGGGAGAGGAAAAATGCATACACGCATCTGACAGGGTGTTTATTCAGTTCCACTCCGATATAATTCATATCAGCTCTCAGATAAATTCTGTCCATGTCAACTTTCAATATAATATAAAGGGCTTAAATTGTTTTCCTCTTACCAAAATGACAGTAAAATGTAAAGGGACCCCTGTCCATTAGGTCCAGTCATGGCCGACTCTGGGGTTGTGGCGCTCATCTCGCTTTATTGGCCGAGGGAGCCGGCGTACAGCTTCCGGGTCATGTGGCCAACATGACTAAGCCACTTCTGGTGAACCAGAGAAGCGCACAGAAACGCCGTTTACCTTCCCGCTGGAGTGGTACCAATTTATCTACTTGCACTTTGACATGCTTTTGAACTACTAGGTTGGCAGGAGCAGGGATCGAGAAACGGGAGCTCACCCCGTCGTGGGGATTCGAGCCTTCGAACTTTTAATTGGCAAGTCCTAGGCTCTGTGGTTTAACCCACAGCGCCACCCGCGTCCCTAATGACATTATGCTGCTACAAAATGACATTATGCTGCTACAAAATGACATTATGCTGCTACAAAAGAGGGGGTCTTTTCTATTGTGGCACCCATTTGGCTTGCCCTCCCAAGGAGACATGCCTGGTGCTAGCATTACAATTAAGACTTTCCTATATTTAATACAGGAGGGTTGTCATGTGTCCTCTTTTTTTCCAGGACACGCCCTCTTTTTCATCATAGTGATCCATAGCTAAAAGTAGCAGTAGGCAAATGTGTCCTCTTTTTGGCTCTTCAAAATATGGCAACCCTACGTATAGTCCCAAGCATTTTATATATGGTTTTAGCCAGAACTGTGCTGTTCTTTAAGCTTTATGTTTTTAACTAGCTCTTTGTTTTATTGCTTGTTGTGAAGGGGTTCATTGTTTTGGTTTGTTACTATGTTAGGTATTTTTGTGTTTTTATATTGTAAACCGCCCTGTGCAAGATGGCATAGAAATTTAATAAATAAAATAATTAATAAATTAATATGGAAAACACAGGTGGAAATCTTTGGAAAATAAGTTGTATTTTCTGCACTCTGCAGTCTTTGAGAAGGGTATGATTCAGACTTGGGATTTAAAAAATTACTGGAAATTGTGAGGGCTTCAAAAGTACCAAAAGCTTGAAACAAAAGCAAAAATCCACAAAACGCATTAAATAAAACACTAATGTCGTTCCCATTTGCACAAGCACACAGAGAGAGAAGTCAACAAAATGCAACTCAGCTTCCTAGACATGCATCCTTTTTTTTTAGTAAACAGCTTCAAAGTTTGGTCTTGCCACAATCTCGTTGCACATTAGAACTAAATAAGGATGTCTCGGCAAACAGACTTATGTAGACTGCTTGTTACATTTAGGCCTTTAGCAAATAAATATTGCAGCTTTAAAGGACAAAGTAGCTGCACACAGTAGTAAACTGCCCTCGCAATTCTTCAAGAGAACATAAAAGTAACATTCATTTATGTTTGCGCCGCATGTAGTACACCATTTCTTGCTTTAACCATCACCCAGGTAACAAAACATTATGGTTTTTAAGGACTCATTTGAACTGCACCTCGTATTTAAAAAGTGTGTAGCTTCTCAAATAGCCATGAATAATTTCCCATAGGTGCTGGTTCGCTTGCTGAAAAGCTAATGGTCTTTATAGGAGTGCTATTTGGATAAGGGGACGAGGGTGGCGCTGTGGGTAAAAGCCTCAGCGCCTAGGGCTTGCCGATCGAAAGGTCGGTGGTTCGAATCCCCGCGGCGGGGTGCACTCCCGTTGTTCAGTCCCAGCGCCTGCCAACCTAGCAGTTCGAAAGCACTCCCGGGTGCAAGTAGATAAATAGGGACCGCTTACTAGTCGGGGAAGGTAAACGGCGTTTCCGTGTGCGGCTCTGGCTCGCCAGAGCAGCGATGTCACGCTGGCCACGTGACCCAGAAGTGTCTCCGGACAGCGCTGGCCCCCGGCCTCTTGAGTGAGATGGGCGCACAACCCCAGAGTCTGTCAAGACTGGCCCGTACGGGCAGGGGTACCTTTACCTTTACCTTATTTGGATAAGCCCCCGACACATGTATAAGAAATGGAAATTCCATTTCCCCCCCAGTCCTCTCTGCACCCCCCCCCAAAAAAAATGGCACCCCTGGACCCCTGGTATTGGGGGTGCATGGGAGGCTGCACAGAGGAAAATAGGAACAGGAAGTCCCACCATGTGAGACGTCCACCCAGTAAGTAAGCTGATATTATGATTGACATCCAACCATCCCTGCTGACTCCACCCCCAATGTCCATGCAATTCCCCAATCTACTTTATGGAGCTGAATGTCAACTGAAGAAGGGAGGCAGCTTAAACTTTTGTGGCCACAGGAGGGGGAAAGGCAAGCTGATGTTCAGATGATCTCGTGGCCACACCTTGCTTTTTTTCAACAAAAACAGTGGCGGATTCAAAAAGATGAATTCAAGTAATCATGAGCTAACCCTTTTCCAATTGAGGAATTTAAGTACACAGGCTGCCCTCCTGGTCCTGCGGCTTCTCCCATGACAGAACAAAAGTGTAGGCAACAAATGCACAGTGTTGGGAAAGGTCAGAGTTATGTAACAGGATTGGGGGGAAGCTAAGAGCAAAGTGTAGTGATGTATGGAAGTGAGAGCTGGGCCATGAAGAAGGCTGATCGCCAAAGAATTGATGCTTTTGAATTGTGGTGCTGGAGGAGACTCTTGAGAGTCCTATGGACTTCAAGAAGATCAAACCTCTCCATTCTGAAGGAAATCAGCCCTGAGTGCTCACTGGAAGGACAGATCCTGAAGCTGAGGCTCCAATACTTTGGCCACCTCATGAGAAGAGAAGACTCCCTGGAAAAGACCCTGATGTTGGGAAAGATGGAGGGCACAAGGAGAAGGGGACAACAGAGGACGAGATGATTGGACAGTGTTCTCAAAGCTACCAGCATGAGTTTGACCAAACTGTGGGAGGCAGTGGAAGACAGAAGTGCCTGGCGTGCTCTGGTCCATGGAGTCACGAAGAGTCGGACACGACTAAACGACTAAACAACAACAACAAACAGGGCTGCCTTCAGATGTCTTTCTTTCTTTCTTTCTTTCTTTCTTTCTTTCTTTCTTTCTTTCTTTCTTTCTTTCTTTCTTATTTATACCTGCCCATCTGCCTGGGTATCCCCAGACAATCTGGGCGGCTCCCAACAGAATATTAAAAAACACAACAAAACATCAACCATTCAAAAGTTCCTTCAGATGTCTTCTAAAGGTTGTTTAGTTACTTATCTGTTTGACATCTGATGGGAGAGTATTCCACAGGGCGGGCACCACTACCAAGAAGGCCCTCTGCCTGGTTTCCTGTAACCTCACTTCCCACAGGGAGAAACCACCAGAAGGCCCTCGGAGCTGGACCTCAGTGAATGATGCGGGTGGAGACGCTCCTTCAGGTATACTGAGCCGAGGCTGTTTAGGGCTTGAAAGGGCAGCACCAACACTTTGAATTGTGCTCGGAAACATACTGGGAGCCAATGTAGGTCTTTCAGGACTGGTGTTATATGGTCTCAGCGGCCACTCCCAGTTATCAGTCTAGATCAATTGTAGTTTCCGGGTCACCTTCAAAGGTATCCCCATGTAGAGCGCATTGCAGTAGTCCATCATAGAAAGGACAGACGGCTCTGAAGTTCGTCTAAGTGGAAGCAGCCTGACATCAGCCTCCATGCGCTTCTATAAATAGTGGCTGCAGGAAGGCAGGCACTAAGGAAACACAGGTATTCCCAGGTGCACTGGCATTCCAAAGCAGGGAGATGCCTTATGGGAAATTCAAGGTTGCATCTTGTGAAAATGGCATAGGCTCCCGCAATGCTTTTGTTCCCATCTAGGGCTGTGGAAATATGTAGAAATATGTGCCTTGTCTACAAATACAGACAGATGCAAGCCTCCACTCCCCTCAGGGATCTACAGATTTGCAACAAATTGCCTTGCTCTCATCTCCCGGATCATCTGGATATTCAAGTCCAATCGGTGTCTATTTTGACCAAGGCTTCCGATAAATCGATGGGTTTACACAGCTTGTTTATAGATCAAAATCAGACAGAGGAATGTTTTCTGAAACAGCCTCCTTTTAACACTTGCCACAACCTCGCTGGGTTTCCAAATAAGGAGATCTTTTTAAAGCAGAATATCGTATTTTGACAATTTCAGGTTTACCGAAACTATACAAGACACAGATAGAAGAAAGAAAAACCTAAGTGGCAAAGCAAAAAAACACCTCTGAACTTAGAAGAATTGAAAGCTGCAGGAAAAACATGTAGCCTGACAGGAGCTGATTGCAAAATGAACAGTTGAATCATAGCATGCAGTAGCTAAAAGGTGGTGCTCTTGTTTTCCATGAACATTGGAAATAGAGGCCAAGACAGAGTCAATCTATTTTACGCTGGCAGAGGTGATGGTAGAAAGCCGACTCAGTATTGTGGGGCTATAGCTTTCACAAAAACACAAACACACACACAAAATATCAGTCTTTACCTGAAGATATATGCGTAAAAGATTTGTAACAAATAGGAGAAAAAGCCAAGGAACACTATAATATTTTAAAGCTTACCAATGCTATTCTTCCAAGAAACCACTACATGTCAAGATTTGAGAGCCCATCCTATGAAAATATATACCTAGCATTGTCATGCACAACTATTATGGTGCCTGTTTTATTTTTATTTTTTTTAAATATTTTTATTGGGTTTTCACATTTTATATAGATAAAGACACAACACATAACATCAAAACAAACATAAAAAACAACAAACATGTATAGTTCCCGAAAATCTTATTTTCTAACCCTAGTCCTTGACTTCCCCCCACCCCCCTCCCTTGCATCCCTATTCCCAAGTTTATGTCAGCAAATTGGTATTTCCTTCTCCGTCTTGATATTAATCCTTTTATAAAAACAAAAATAAATTTTCCCTAAGTTGGACCCCAATTCTCTTCCCACGATTTCTCATTTTTTCTTAAATAATTTTCTTATTAACTAAACCCCCTGGTCTTGAGTGTTGTTTAAATTTAAATGCTTCCCTCCCTCCCATTCCCGCTTTGCGTCCTTTCCCAAGACATGTCCAAAATAACATTTTTAGCCTGGATTCCGCACATCCAAAGCTCTCAAGTCTCTTTCAGTCCCTCTCCGCCGATTTTGTTGGTAGTCCTTTTTGTTGGTCATCGAGTCTCGAAAGATTTCCTTAACAATCAATCCAATCAATCCATAGTCTCTTCCCATATTTAGAAACAACTGCTGAGGCATTTCTGCCAGGCCTAAGTCTTGGTGATAGTCAAAATCAAAGTCTATGTGGATGCCCCAATTGTACTTCTTTATTTCAAGCTCCTGAATTCCATAAACTTCCAGGGCTTCCTCTTTCGTCTTCTGTATCTTTCGTAGACTTAAAATGGAGTTAATCCAATAGTCTCCTTGCTTGTGTTCTCCAAATGCCGACTTCTGGTTGATATTTTCCGACATAACTTGTTCTCTTTCATGTTTTGTCTTCTCCTCTTCTTTGTTTATTATTTCGAATTCAGCTGTGGGTTCTTTCTCACTCAGGTCTTCATTGCATTCAGCAGAACTACTTGTTTCCGAATTCAAGGTCATCAATTGTTTACTCATAACTATAGTCTGCTCCTGTAAGGTTCCCACCAGTGAAAACATCCTTTCGATTTCTCTCAGTATCTTTCCACCCACAGCCATTGTAATTCCACAGAATTCCCCCTAGAGGGAATCTAGTTACTTAATGAACTTTTCTCCAACAATCCTCTGTCCTGTTATTGTTTCTTTGTTTCCCACAATTTTAATTCAATTGTAACTCCTTTTAATCCGGAGAGGTCTTAGATAGCAATTTTTCCACTGTTAACAGTCCATTTGACAGCTTTGACAGCTGTCAAATTCTGCTCCTCTATACAGGCTCCAAAGCAGGTCACTCCCGGGCCCGGGAGGGAGGGTTGTTTACCACAAAACAAAGACTCTTCCAACACTCCACTCTCCTGCTCAAATTTGCTTTTCCAAATCTTGGAAGTTACTGTCTTTTTAAAACTCACCCTTTGCAGGGTAGGCACTCCAGCTTAGCTCTTATATCGTTGCTCTGGATCGTCTGCAAGGGGGGGGTGGGGACTTCCTTTTGGCGCACCCCCCGGTCGTCTCAAATTCAGAAGGTAGAAAATTTTAAAGTTCAGTTCCAAATTACTCACGGGTTCTTTTTTTTCCAGTCCAAATTTTAAGGAAGGAAGTCAGCGCTCTCCAGTTATGGCTCGCGGCTTCGCTCAGCGGCGGTAGCGATCGACTCTCAGTGCCGCGCCGTCCCCCGTATCCCCTCCATAGCCTTTAAAAAGGCTCTTCGCGAATCAGGGGGGGCGCTTAAGGCACCCGCCGAGTCTTCAGTCCGCAGGCATCTGCACCTGCGGTTTTTAAGGGTCCCCGTGTCGCCGGCACGGCAAAGACCCATCCACCGCTGAGCCGATTCCCTCCGGAGCTCGGAGGGAATCCGCCATTCCCGGATCGCGCCAACCCGGAAGTCCTATGGTGCCTGTTTTATCTTAAGATGAGCAGTGGAGGAAAACAGAGGGCTCTTGATTCTTTCTTCCTTCACCCCACAACACCACAGGTCCTTCACCTCTTTCCCCTTGGCCTTCCAACCAACTCTTCCCTTTCCCCACTGTGAAATCCTTTTTCCAAGCCTCAGTCATCAACACTACAAAATGACTGAGAGGGTCATTTGCGTAACTCTCCTTGTCTCTTTGTTTCAAGGGAATGTGACCAAGACATCATCTGTATTAATAGAAGGTACACAGAACTGTTTTGGTTTGGCATTTTAGTGACCAAGCACCTCCTTAAAGCAATGTGTTGTGACCTTGCAACATCAAGAAGCAATTCTGCGGTAACTGTTGTCCTGTGGGATGATTAAATAGGACAATGGTTTCATATACAGTGGTACATCTACTTACTTATGCGATCTGTTCCAGGGTGCGGTTCGCACCCCAAAAAGTCCGTAAGTAGAGCACCGCTTCTGTGCATGCATGTGATGCGATAGAGCACTCCTGCGCATGCGCAAAGTGCGCAGATCGCTCCTGTGCATGTGCGAAGCAGCGAACCCGGAAGTAAACACTTTTGGGTTTGCCACGTTTGTAACCTGAAAAAATGCAACGTGAAGCAAACACAACTCGAGGTATGATTGTAGTGGTGAATTACTCATCATTCCTGAATCAAGCTTTCATGTTAGTGGCACACATCCTAGATAGTGTTTCGAAAGGGTGTGAGCTATCTCCACTCTATGGGGCAGAGAGAAGTAATCCTTGCAGCAGGGCAACACATTTCATTCTACCCCTGAAAACTGCAAGCCTCTATGTTGTGTAACAGCAATGAAACTCCTCTCCATTTTGCCATGTGGTAATCTGCTGTTCAAGAACTACAAATCTCCTGTGGGCATATGAAATTAATCCCACAATATATTTAAACTCAGGCTCTAATAAAAGTCATAGGACCCAACTCCAAACGCTACCACTTTTTGTTACACCATTTGGTGCCCTTGCAATAGAGGTTCCCATAAAAGTCTTTCAGAAAAACATATCTTTACAACCCAATTTTCCTTCTCTAAGAACCACAAAGAAGTGAATAAGTACGACTGGATTATAAATACAGTGGTACCTTGGGTTACATACACTTCAGGTTACATACACTTCAGGTTACAGACTCCGCTAACCCAGAAATAGTGCTTCAGGTTAAGAACTTTGCTTCAGGATGAGAACAGAAATCGTGCTCCGGCGGTGCGGCAGCAGCAGGAGGCCCCATTAGCTAAAGTGGTGCTTCAGGTTAAGAACAGTTTCAGGTTAAGTACGGACCTCTGGAACGAATTAAGTACTTAACCCGAGGTACCACTGTACAAATGTTTGGAATTAAGTAATTTCAAGAGGGGTATACTTTGTTTTGACTTAACTGAACTGCATCTTTAATCCTAAGGAGTTCTTTTTTATTATTCCCAGAAAGCAAGCTTGAATATGATCCCTATTAACTATCAAACTAATTTGTCATAATTTAGGCATTTTTTAAAAATGGGGGAAAATCTTTTTATTTATTTATTCTCCTTTGGAACTATTGGACAACTAAAACCTAATGGATCTCTTATAATGTACACATGGAATTCATTAGGGTAAGCAATATTTTAAAAGAAGTCAAGTGTGTAGGAACCATAATACCATAATACCGAATCATTCCCTCTCCTTCTATTCTTCGTTATGAACTTGTGATCAGAGAATCTTATTTCATTTAAGGGAACATTTCTGTCTCTTTGCATACACATCATTTCACAAAAACATTCCCCCCCCCATATTACCTTTAACGTTCTAAAATAAAATGGGAAAGAGCTGCAATCTGACCAACGTTCTAAAAAGCAAGTCAAGCATTGGGGTGAGCAGGATGGGAAAGAGACTGTAATACCTTCTTTTAGTTTCTTCTCTGTAAACGGCTTTGTAGCATTGAAGGAAACCTTGTATAAATAGTCGCAAAGGAAGGAAGAAGAATCTCGACAGGAAACATTGTCTGAATGAACTTCATAGTTAGGGAAATCTGTAAAAGTCACAAAAAAGTATAATGAAAAGAGCCTGTTTCAGTGACTATGGAACACATATCGATAAAACGATAGAAAATATATTAGCTATTGGAATTTTATGTGAAATTTGTGGGAATTTTAATAAAATATATTTAAAAAGGTGTATACCTCAATTTATTTCTACATCCAGGCCCTCTGCCCCTTCCTTTTCTCTCTTTCTTCCTCTCTCCCTCCCCTCCTCTCTCTCTCTCACTCACAAACACGCACACACACACATGTCCCAAGGCAGCAAGGTGCCAAAACCAGGAAAGTACAGTCGTACTTGGAAGTTGAATGGAATCTGTTCTGGAAGTCCTATCGACTTCCAAAATGTTTGAAAACCAAAGCAGGGCTTCTGTTTTTGTTTTGTTTTTTCAAATAATTTTTATTAACAGGCCAATCAAATCACATTAATTCCAAATTACACAGCCAAATTTTTAAATTTTTGTTGGGGGTACCCATGCTTCGAGCTCAGAAAGGGATCCAAACATCTCTCTTGCTGCTGCTGCTTTAATGTACACACTTCTGTCCAAATAATATTCACAGTTCTGTTCAATTTTCTCTTTGTTATTTTCCTCATCTTCTTGTTGTTATCATATACAAAGCAGGGCTTCTGATTGGCTGCAGGAAGCTCCTGCAGCCAGTTGGAAGCAGCAGAAGCCCCATCGGACGTTCGGCTTCCGGGTTTGCGGCGTTCAGGAACCAAAATGTTCAGGAACTAAACTGTTCGAAAACCAAGGTACGACTGTAAAAGGGAATTTACCTGCAAGCATACAGGATTCATGATTTTTATCTAGCTTACAAAAATCCAGTCACAGCATCCAATATACATCAAAGAGTTTTGCAAGTGGGACTTTGACTTAGTGCTGCCACATTCTCTCCGTTTTGTCATTATTTGATCTTTTTAAATCCATATTAACTTAAAATACATTGCACCACGCAGTTACACACACACACACTTCAAGTCTGTACCTGAAAACTTATTGTGGTGGAGGAATTCCATCTGCAGCCTTTGTCCGGATTTCTTGGCTAACAAGTATGGGGTACTGTAGACAGGATCTCCGGTAGCGCACATCACATCTGCTCCGCTAAACAACAACATCATTGTTTCCAATACGTCCTGCTTAACTACCGCAGCACACAGGGCCTGATCATAAAGATGAAAAGCATGAGCTACAAGTAGAACACCAAACAGGAAGGAATTAATAAATCTTAATGCAATGGGCAATCTCAGCGGTCTCGTCACACTGTAGCCAATGCATTCAGCTGAAATTCACGCAGCAAGGCCAAAGCTCGCTACATTTCACAGGCAACTATCATAAGGCTATTAAATCACAATGTGCTACAATTATTGGGGGATTCGTAGGTCTGGACCAACATCCATTATTTAAGACAGCTTACCTTGTACAGGAACTATTACTAGCCCTGTTCAGTAGGCGAATGGGTTATAAAAGGTAAAGGTAAAGGACCCCTGGATGGTTAAGTCCAGTCAAAGGCGACTATGGGGTTGCAGCGCTCATCTCGCTTTCAGGCCAAGGGAGCCGGCATTTGTCCACAGACAGCTTTCCGGGTCATGTGGCCAGCATGACTAAATCACTTCTGCACAGTGGAACACCGTGACGGAACCACAGTGCACAGAGACACCATTTACCTTCCCACCGCAGTGGTACCTATTTATCTACTTGCACTTTGACATGCTTTCGAACTGCTAGGTTGGCAGGAGCTGGGACAGAGCAATGGGAGCTCAACCCATTGCAGGGATTCGAACCGCCGACCTTCTGATCAGCAAGCCCAAGAGGTTCAGTGGTTTAGACCACAGGGCGACACACATCCATTATACTGAATGCATATGTACATGTACATACCTAACTTTATTATTATTATTATTATTATTATTAATCATAATATATTTTTATACTGCACCATACCCGCAGGTATGGTTCACAACATAACATCACAATATAAAACCACAAAATGTGTAATAAAAATGAAAACAAGAACCATCCAATAAACCACCCCCTTCCCAATGCAATTTAAAAGGGCATTAGATGTCAATCAGCCAAAGGTACTTGTTTGCCTGGTGCCTAAACATGCATAATGAAGACTCCAGAATCCAACCACAATTTTCACACATTCAGCTAGACTGCTGAGCAGAGCACAAGTTGTACAATTTGTATGTGCACAGGGTCTCTCTCTTTTTTTAAGTGTCCCTGATCATGCATGCAAGATGCACATGTGTAGGCATTCTACAGGGAATTTGAGCTAGTATGTGGATGACAACAAGGCACCATAATACCACCTCTTCTCTGTACAGGCATATATTTGCCATCTGAGCAGGGCTTCTATGTATGGAGGAAAATGCATGACACTTGGGTTTAGCCAGAAATGTACCATATTTTTCGCCCTATAGGACGCACTTTTTCCCCTCCAAAAATGAAGGGGAAATGTGTGTGCGTCCTATGGGGCAAATGCAGGCTTTCGCTGAAGCCTGCAGAGCGAGAGGCGTCGATGCGCACCGACACCTCTCACTCTCCAGGCTCCAGGAAGCTATCCGCAAGCCTTGCACGCCCGGGGGGAGTTCCCCCAGGCGTGCAAGGCTTGCAGGCGGGAGCCTGCAGTGCGGAGCATGGGGCGCCCTCCGGAGGATGCCCCGTGCTTCACGCAGCTGTCCGCAAGCCTTGCGCACCCAGGAGATCTCCCCCCGGGCGTGCACGGCTTGCAGGCGGCAGCCGGCAGCGCAGAGCACGGGGCGCCCTCCGTAGGACGCCCCGTGCTTCGCGCAGGTGTCTGCAAGCCTTGCGCGCCCAGGGGAACTCCCCCCGGGCGCGCAAGGCTTGCGGGCGGCAGCCTGCAGCGCGGAGCATGGGGCGCACTCCAGAGGACACCCGGTGCTTCGCACAGGTGTCCGCAGCCTGCCGCCCCGCGCGTGGGGCGCCCTGAAGCAGAGCGCCCCTCGCGCCGGAGCAGACATCGGCCAGCCCCACAAGCTCGGGGGACAGCGGGGAGGCACAGCGCCACCATCCCACTGTTCCCTGACCTGGTTTTGGGGGGGAAATAAAGGGGGGGAAATTCTCCTTTATTTCCCCCCCCAAAAAATTGGTGCGTCCTATGGGACAGAGCGTCCTATGGGACGAAAAATACGGTAGTACACAAATTTATGGGGTTATGCAAATACATATTTTTCTTTTTTCTCTTTTCGAGCGACATGAACCGGGCTCTGACTTCTCAAGGCAGACACAGTAAGAAAACCTTATAAGGCATTATTAAAAAATGCTACACAGGAAGCACAGTCATTTTACTATTTGTTTCAGCAATACTGGTGACACATCTATGCCTATAGAGGATACTCTAGCTCAACTGATTATTTTGCTGGTCCTTGTCTACCTCTGCAGATCAAAACAAAATCCTTTCTGAACACTTACATTTAGAAGTCACAGAACAGATGGAACAAACCGAAATATCTTCATTTAACCCTAGTAGTGTAACTACTGTCACTTGGCATTCCGGAATAAAATTGTAATAGGGCTGCATGCCCTACATATAAAATACAGAGCTCTCTTAGGTGAAGCCAAGGTCTTCCTTGAAGTTCTAACGTTCCTCCCCTCTTTGAACAACAGACCTTCATGCCATATAACAAGCTATCTTTAAATCGCTACACCATTTCAAAAGCAATTTGTTATACAGAGCATGAAGACCACTGGAAAATTACAAGTTCAAAGCTCCCCTTGGAGGTATAGTACTAGCTATGTGATTCTCTAGATTCTGGCCTTCATAGATTGCATACAATAAAATTAACGATTAATTGAACTATTAATGTGAGTTCATCAACATATCTAACAAAAGTCAGAAATAATTGAGTGGGGGGGGGAGTGATTGTATCTAATGTTAGTCCTGGTCTGATCCTCTGGCTCTGCAATGCTTCTGCCTGTGGGATTTGTTGGAGTGGGTGGGTTGGCCACTGGAATCATGACATGTTTAATCAGAGATGTTTCTTAGGATTTGGGGTCCACCCAGGGACAGCTGTGAGCCAAGGCTTCCTGCATTGCAGGGGTTGGACTAGATGACCCTTGGCATCCCTACCAACTCTAAAATTCTATGAGTCTATGAGCTGTGGTCTATGTGCTGTTTTGTTAGCCGTGACCCCCGCTAATTGATCTACGGACCTCAATTAGCGATTTATTGCTGCCCGGCACGCTTCCACTCCGGCACTTCTCCGTCACGGTTCAGCAGAGCTTCGCACAGCGATGTAAAACTGTCACCAACTTGATTCAGCTTTCAGACAAACACACAGAGTCCCGTTTGTCTCTATACAGCTTTTATTTCCAACATTTCTCAGGAATTTCCAGGACTAGTTGCAGCCATCACAGCACTACGTCCTTTTCCCCACAGCTCACATAGTGGGACTGGCAAACTTTGCCTCAAGCTCCTCCCGAGCTTCCAAAAGTGACGTCAGAATGGTGAGGCATCATGGGAACAACTTAACCAGTTAAGTTCCAACTCTCACACCCCCTCTTGCATCCCATTCTGACAAGACCCTCTGAGTTCAACACCTTCCCCTTTGCCTTGTGCTCCTTCCCAGCATCCTTCCCAGGCACCTGTTGAACCCCTTCAACACTCCCAGAATCACACTGTGCGACACTTTTCCACGCACCTGTGACCTGATACCCTACTGACCCATTAGGGCCAGCAGTTGTGTCTTCTCCGTCAGACTCTTCCCCCTCTGACTTGACACCCCTTCCGTGAGCTTTCTCCATTACCTGAGATGAAGCCTCACACCTGGACACTCCTTTCACAACCCTTGGAGATGCCCAAACCTGCCCTGAACCCTGACCCTGGATCTGGTCCCCATCACCGGGTTTTGAACCCTGATTCTGGACCTGATCCCCGTCATCGGGCTCAGCCACAGCCTCCCTTCTCCCTTGAGAAGACTTTGCACCCGTCACCTAGTGACGTATTTCCTTTTCCTTGAAAAATTCCTCCAGAGCAGACCCAGTAAACTGTGACCCTCGGTCGCTCTTGAACCCTTGCACCCTGGTGGAGAACCTTAGTTCCACCTCCGCAACCCAATCCTGATCAGTTGCGCCGCCTCTCCCTGTGGTTTGCGAGAGAGACACCAGCCAACCTGGCTGTGGTCATCTGTCAGCGATGGCACATACCTGGCCCCACCCAGACTCTCACACCTCATGGGTCCTGACAGATCTGTGTGAACAAGCTCAAAAGCTTCCTTGGCTACCCTCCCAAACCCGGGAAAACCAAGTACCTTTGCACCTTTGCATGCCCTGCACCCTTGGGACCTCCTCCCACATTTCCGGAGCTTGTACCCTCTTGTGCACCTGTGCAACTTTTGCACATCTTTGGGAACCTTAGCACACTGCACCTGTGCTTTTCCAGCATTCCCACCACCCTCCATAGGTGACTCCAGAACAAAGACGTTGTTCTCCCTTTGCATGTTGACCCGTTGTCTCCCCCCTCTGAAAATGGAACAGGTGTCATTCTCAGAACAAGCATTGTATCCCTGCTTCATTAGAGCTGATACAGATAAAAGACAACACTTCAGTCCCGGCACAACGTTGATCTCTCGCTTCTCCTGTGAAGTAGAGAAAAACACGTTAGCCATACCACAGACTGGCTTTTGTGTTCCGTCTGTGAACCTAACAGTCATCCCTGTTAAAGCAGCCCTGCATTTCCGCAGCTTCCCAGCAGATGTCTCTGGAATCAAATCGCAATTAGCAGCAGAGCCAATAACAAAACTTTGCTCTGTCCTTGTCTCTTCCTGGCACCTGGCACGTACACCAGCCTCAGTCCCGCGCCTGGTTGTTTTTCCAGACCGGTTGCCATGGTAACCCGACTGGTTCCCATGAGATTTCAGCAGTTTGACCTTGGCAACATCCTGCCTTTTCTCTCTGCTCCGGTGGGGGCAATCTCGCCGCAGATGTCCCGGAGCTTTGCACACGTAGCAACGACGAACTCCAGTGGAAAAACACTGCCTGGGGCTCCCAGCTGGTTTGGCCTTCCTCCTTCTGGAACGGCGCCTCCCACCAGCCTCGCCCCCCCTGAAGCCGCTCTCCGCTCCAGCGGGTTCAGTGGAAAACTTTTCAAACTTGCCTTTGGAACTTTCCGCCCCCCCGATCTGCTCACTAGCGCTCCTTGTGGCTAAAGCATCAGGGACAGGGGCTCCAGCCATCTCTAGGCTTTTGTATTCCTTCTCCAGGGCTCTGGCCTTTTGCTGAAGCTGCACAGCAAACACAGCACATTTCCAAGCAGCCCTTAGTCCCTTTGCCCCCCTCTGGGGCCCACAGCCCTTCCCAGCTGTGCACCGGCTCTCACGAAGGTGGTCAGCGCCATCTTGCTTTCTGTTCTGAAGCAGCCATCTCCCAGCCCTTGCTTCCGCCTCCAGCCTCATAAACACCCTGGAGCGCTGAACGGCCTCTGGCTTCCTGGCACCCAGAACAGTAGACTTCAGATCAGCAGCCAGGTTGCCCAACTTCTTAAAGTGAGCCTCCCACAGGCTCCAAGACCTGGCAGCCTGCCATCCTCTTCCGTTCTCCCAAGGGGCCCCAAGCTGTACTTACAGACCAGTTTCAGCTCCTCTGGCTTCCCTTCCGTGGAGAAACGATTCCCTGCTGTTCTCAGCTCCTGGCTCCTGCCTCCTGCCGTCTCTGCAGCTCTTTGCAGTTCTCAGCAACACAGGCAGTTCTCTGTGTCTCGCAGCTTGCTTGTTTGCTTCCGTCTGCACCTTCTGCCGCCTCTGCTCGACACCGCAGATTCACAGCTCCCGCGACAGTTTTACAAGCGGTTATTTATGGACCCATAACCTGTGCTGTTTTGTTAGCCGTGACCCCCGCTAATTGATCTACGGACCTCAATTAGCGATTTATTGCTGCCCGGCACGCTTCCACTCCGGCACTTCTCCGTCACGGTTCAGCAGAGCTTCGCACAGCGATGTAAAACTGTCACCAACTTGATTCAGCTTTCAGACAAACACACAGAGTCCCGTTTGTCTCTATACAGCTTTTATTTCCAACATTTCTCAGGAATTTCCAGGACTAGTTGCAGCCATCACAGCACTACGTCCTTTTCCCCACAGCTCACATAGTGGGACTGGCAAACTTTGCCTCAAGCTCCTCCCGAGCTTCCAAAAGTGACGTCAGAATGGTGAGGCATCATGGGAACAACTTAACCAGTTAAGTTCCAACTCTCACAGTCTATATATGGGCTATACACCCAAACACCATTTGGCATCAGTTGAAGTTTGGAAGAGCATGGTGTATCTATTTGCTCACTTTGGCAATAAAGCAAACTAGGTTTTGGCCAGTCCTTTTTATTGCACATCTGTTTGGCTGTGCCTTTTTTTTTTTTAACACCTTCTTGTAATCTTTCTTCTCCTGGCTGTGTCAGTTGAGTTGTGACAGAGAGCATCAACAGAGGACATCAACAGAGGACAGTCCAGTTGTGCGTTCAATTACTTTGGGCTACTTATTCCTTTCTTTGCATGGAAATGACCATTTAATAAAGTTGTGGCCTATTTAACCCGACAATTCCTCTAATCTTTTCACAGACTGGACTCTAATCTACAAAAGCACAATGTCATCCAGATGTTTTGAACTACAGGCAGCATGGCCAATAGTGAGGGATGAGGGGAGTTATGGTCCAAAACAAAATTGGTGTTAGTCTTTAGTCTTTATTATGCCCAGAATCTTTGAGATAGATGATGATAGATAGATAGATGATAGATGATAGATGATAGATGATAGATAGATAGATAGATAGATAGATAGATAGATATAGATAGATTAGATAGATATAGACATAGGCGCCGACTCCATGGGGCTTGAGGGGGCCCGAGCCCCCTCAAGAATTCGTTTGGGGGGGCTCCGCCCCCCCAATAATCTCCGGCGCCCCTCCAGCAGAGCGCCATCGCCGCCCCTCCCCCAGCCCAAAATGCACAGGGAGGGGCGGGCTGCATGCCTCCTGCCCTCCCTCCCAAGCAAAAGCTCCACCCAATTTCCTTTGGAGCTGATTAATAGGCGCAGCACGCTCTCCCCTATTCGCTCACGAGGAGGCGGCACCACTTTATTTGCATATTCATGAGCTTATTTATTATTCATGAGCTTTCCCGGGCCCCCCCAATATTTTTTATAAGTCCGCGTCCCTGGATATAGATATAGATAGATAGATAGATGATAGATAGATAGATAGATAGATAGATAGATGATAGATAGATAGATAGATAGATAGATAGATAGAGATGATAGATAGATGATGATAGACAGATAGATAGATAGATGATAGATAGATAGATTATAGATAGATGATAGATAGATGATGATAGATGATAGATCATAGATCATAGATAGATAGATAGATAGATAGATAGATAGATAGATAGATAGATAGATGATAGATAGATGATAGATAGATAGATAGATAGATAGATGATAGATAGATAGATGATATAGATAGATTAGATAGATAGATAGATGATAGATGATAGATAGATAGATAGATAGATAGATAGATATAGATAGATAGATAGATAGATAGATAGATAGATAGATAGATGATAGATAGATAGATGATAGATAGATGATAGATGATAGATAGATAGATAGATAGATAGATAGATATAGATAGATTAGATAGATATAGATGATAGATAGATAGATAGATAGATAGATAGATAGATAGATGATAGATAGATAGATGATAGATAGATAGATAGATATAGATAGATAGATAGATAGATAGATGATAGATAGATAGATGATAGATAGATGATAGATGATAGATAGATAGATAGATAGATAGATAGATAGATATAGAGATAGATGATAGATGATATAGATAGATAGATGATAGATAGATAGATAGATAGATAGATGATAGATAGATAGATGATAGATAGATAGATGATAGATAGATGATAGATAGATGATAGATAGATGATAGAGGATAGATAGATAGATAGATAGATAGAGATAGATAGAGATAGATAGATAGATAGATAGATAGATAGATAGAGATAGATAGATAGATAGATGATAGATATCAAACAACAAAAAGAGACATACAGTCCACAGCCTCAAAAAAAGACTAACTAGTCCCATATCCCAACATTTCTTCCAGATTTACCTGGTTTAATTCTTCTTTGGTTTTGTACAGCAAAGTGCTTTTTCTGAATCTTCCCTCTTTATATTTCTGTGTAATAAAAGTTAACCTCCGGTCTGTTGGGGCATCCATACGCAACTCCTCATCGGGCTGAATGTTTCCTTCCCAAAAGCTATTTGCCCTCTTATTCCCTATCACAATAAAAAGCTGGAGAAGGAAGAAAGCAAACTTAGTAAACATCTAACACTTTGCTGCCTTTCCATGACACCCAAAATCAGCTGCATGAGGTGGCTGTTTCGCTCTGTCTAAACATGGGACTTGCTCTGCTGCTTCTCCTAGCCAAAGAGACTGTAATGGAGCCAAACCTCATCCTTGAGGATGGGGAAAGGGTTGTAGTTGAGTGGTAGAGCATGCAGAAAGTCCCAGATAAATTTGCAACATCTCCAAGTGGGGCTATGGGAGAATCCCACCTGAAATTCTGGAGAACCACTACCAGACATTGTAGACAACCCAGAGCTATATGGAACAGTGTTCTGGCTCTGTGTAAAGGCAGCTTTCCCATGCTTTCTTAGCATCTTATTCAACAAAATCTTGTTCAGCAGTTCATGTGACTTCAGCAGGCACTCTCTGCACACATCATCAAGCACATCAGCAGAGCCATATGGCCTAGATATACACTTTTAAAAAATAAAACTCTCAGGAAGCTGAATTCTGTGCTGTGCCATGCATTCTGCAGCTTTCCTGTGCTCCTATCGAATCACATCATACACATAGCCCTAGCAATATCCCAACACAGGATCCAAGGAAAATGATGAAATACTTAGAAGATACAGATGAATTAAGGGGCATCTGTAGAAAGCCAATTATGTACCCCAGCATTCCTTACAGACTGACATTTTGCCATTCTGGAAACTGGGAAATGTGGGGAAATAAATTAAAGTATTATGTCAGTGAAGTTCTTTAGAAAACAACAGCAAGCTCTAATAGCTTGGCATTAAGGAGAACTTTTCAAAGTACTGAAGTCACTTAAGAAAATAAAAAGAACATGTTTTATTTAATACGTGGTGACAATGAGCTTCTATTTCCACAGTAAAATGTAAAACGACCTTCCTTTTTATGTTAATATATTTATCCCCCACACTTTCTATTCTAAGAAATCTGGCCCAACACGGAAAAAAAATCCTCACTACCATGGATCAATAAAAAGCAATAAAAAAATTTAAAAATCAGCACGGAACTATGAAGCACAGAAGCATTTGTAACAAGTGGGAAGGGATTTCAAATTAATAGACAAATTCCTCAGGAGCATCATTACATGCCACGAAACTTCACAGTAAATGTTTACTTTTCCCACTGATAAGGCTTGTCTCTCCTATTCCCCTTCCACCCGACTGTTTCCTACCTCAATGAGTTCATTACTCCAAATGCTGGCATCCATTTTGAGGCTTCGGACCTTCGAATCTCTGGGTCCTAAGGATCTGTGTTGCCCTGAGTCAAAATAACAAGATGTAGCATGTTTCAGGGTTAGAAATTAGGGACAGAACTTTGATAAACAGATAAAAGAAAAGAAAGGAGTGCGCCTACATCATGTGGCTTACAATATATGGCTGGTGGGCAAGATCCTGAACTCCTTCACCTGTGGATCATTTTGACAAGCAGGTTGGATCATCTGCTTGTCTATTACCTGACTTCACCATGTCACCAAGTAACCTATTTTTCCTTCACAATCTAGCTTGCAATCAAGCCATGCTGCAAAGGAACATTTGTCCTCAGCAAGGTGGATCGATTCAAGCTGGGATGTGAAGGAAAAATGGTCCTTTGAAGGGATCGATTGGATTAAAAAAAACCTCAGCAGTGGCTTCAAGCTCCATTTTCACCAGGGGTCTGCCACACTCTATAGAGTTCCCAATGAGGAAGTCCAGAGTAGCCAATCCTAGGTGTTAAGTTGTGGGTGAACATATCAGACGACACAGCAATTCTTCAAACAGCTCTTCTTTATTCAGAGGCCAGAACAGAACTGAGCTGAAGAGCTCAGTCAGCCTGCTTATATAGAGCTCCAGAACAACATAACTGTAGCAACTTTCTAAAACTATCCAATCACTGAACGTCACTTTTGATCCTTCATTTGCATAACTATCTACAGTATCCCCCTGCTGGCCCAGGGTGAGAACTTCAGTACATAACACTAGGGAGTGCCCAAATTTAAAGGTGCTGAATACAAGCCCTGCTTGCAAGGGAAAAATCAAGAGCACACATTCCTTTGCAGCCACATCTTCACCTGTTTCACACCTGATGTCAAATATGACTTCAGGTGTAGGGCAGGTGGGCTTCATAAAATCATAGAGTTGGGAGGGACCTTATGGGAAATCTCAACTAAAGCATCCATGACAAATGGCCTTGACGTTGAAAAACAGTTTTATGGGCCAAACTACGATCCCTACTGGATGTAATTTTGCCCCTGGGCTGGAATTTCCCTATGCCTGATTCAACTGGTCTGTAGGTAAAAAGATAAAGAACCCCTGGAGGGTTAAGTCCAGTCAAAGGGGACTATGGGGTTGTGGCGCTCATCTTGCTTCAGGCCAAGGGAGCCGGTGTTTGTCCACAGACAGGTTTTCAGGTCATGTGGACAGCATGACTAAACCACTTCTGGCACAACGGGACACCGTGATGGAAACCAAAGTGCATGGAAACACTGTTTAACTTCCCACCGCAGCGGTACCTATTTATCTACTTGCACTGGTGTGCTTTCAAATTGCTAGGTTGGCAGGAACTGCGACAGAGCAACGGGAGCTCACTTCATCACGGGGGTTTGAAACTTTTGATCAGCAAGCCCAAGAGGCTCAGTGGTTTAGACCACCCGCATCCCTGCTTTGATCTGTAAAACCCTTTAGGACTTTGGGAGTCATTACAGATCCCACATACTATCCCTGCAAAGCTGTACAATAATTTCCCATATCATTTCATATGCTACACTTAAAAGGGATTTATCAAATATATCACAATTTTGAAAAATTAAACTGGGCTCTTGAAGCTATAAAAGGATTAAAGCCTTTGCACTGAATCAGAAATAAATATGGCTGAGACACACCATGCCCTTTAAGGTAGGCATGTTGTCTGATGGAACACTCAGTATCTTAATTACCTGCACACTTCTTACAAATGACAACACAGAGATTGATGGATGCCCAGTCAGGATCCGGTTCCTTGCAGTCAGCACAGGACCTGTTTGAGTCATTGAACCAGATCTTCTCAGCTACTTCATAGTCCGAGAGAGTTTCTGCAATAGACTGCTGTAGTGCTTCGATCCACTCCTGCTTCTCTTTTTCAGACTCTGCCGTAAAGCTGAAACCCATTGACAAAGGGTCTTCTGATTAAATACAAAATAGATCAAGCCTATTTGTTTTACCAGCTATTAAGAGAAGTTAGCTGCATGAAGATGAGAGCTGAGCATCAAGATAATCAAATTAATGCACATTAAATGAATCTTAAAATAAAAACCCTGCTTTGCTTTCTTACCTCAGTTAGTATTTGCCAACTTATACTCATCACCCTTATATATCATGCTTATGACAATATTTTATTCCCTTGTTAATTATGCTGTTTTAAATGTGCATTTTATATTTGACTTCACTTAGCAATGGTTTTTTAAAAAAATGTTTAAGTTTTTTTTAAACTTTGTGTTAAATATGTATTCTGTAGTTGACCTCCTTTGTAATGTTTTGTTTTGAAATCTTTAAGATATTTTAATTTTCTGTTAATTATGTTGCTTTGACTTTCTTCAGATTGTTTTGTTGATGTTTTGTTGATGTTTTAATATTCTGTAAACCGCTTTGAGATTTTTCTTAAAAATAGAAACAGTACAGAAATGAAATAAATAATAATAATATACAAAGGGTGTGCATTGGGTCTGTGAGGAAACCAAATAATGAGGCAAATTGGGGTGATTTGGAGTGCTTTCCCCACTCATGGAATCAAACTGTGATGTCAGGAAGCCTCCTCAATGCAGATCTGGGTTTCCACAAAGCCTCATATGTTTCTGTGTTGTTTCTGTCCTTTCTGTCTTGTATACAGTCATACCTTGAAGTGGTACCTTGAAGTCGAACGGAATCCGTTCTGGAAGTCCGTTCAACTTCCAAAATGTCCAGAAGCCGCGTCAAACATTCAGATTCCAAAGAATGTTTGCAAACCAGAACACTCACTTCTGGGTTTGCAGTGTTCAGGAGCCAAAACATTTGACTTGCAAGGCATTCAGGATCCAAGGTATGACTGTACCTCTATCCTCTTCTATATCTGCACTTTGCAAGAAGTGAAGTTGTCTAAAATATTGCCTGTACACTTAGGAGTTCTGGATTTATTTCCTTTTGTCAAAACACAGCAGAGGACTTAAACAAACAAACAAACAAAAAAGTCAAAAGATTCATTTAAGTTTTTCGTTAAAAATAATAATTCCTATCCTGCCATTTCAACAAAAGCAAGCAAAAAGCAAAAAGCAAAACAGAGTTCTGAATTCTACAGACAGCATCCTAGACAGCCTCGTGCTATAAGTCTCATTGGAAGCCTATCAGAGGACACAAAACAAGGACTGGAAAAGATGATATAAAGTATTTTTTAAAGTACAAGCAAGAACAGTATACGCCAAGCAGCCATCTCTTCATTATTTCACAGTAAGAAAGAACAAGAGACCAGTTGCCCTCCCATAAAAGGCAGCAAGCTGGAGAGAGAGTCAGAGCACAACGGTTGATTTCTGTTTGGAGCCTCTTGGCGGGGTCAATGCTGTGAACCACTCTTGTGGGTTCAGGTTGTATATATGCGTAAATAAACCATATATGCTAAAGATACTACAGTCTCTTCTGTGCCTCACTCCCGAAAGGAAACACAAACCCTAGGTTACCATGCCTAGAACCTCTAGAACAGGGGTAGGAACCTAAGGCTCGTGGGCCGGATGCGGCCCAATTGCCTTCTAAATCTGGCCCGCAGACGGTTCGGGAATCAGTGTTTTTTTTTACATGACTAGAATGTGTCCTTTTATTTAAAATGCATCTCTGGGTTATTTGTGGGGCCTGCCTAGTGTTTTTACATACGTAGAATGTGTGCTTTTATTTAAAATGCATCTCTGGGTTATTTGTGGGGCATAGGAATTTTTTCATTATTTTTTTTTCAAAATATAGTCCAGCCCACCACATGGTCTGAGGGACGGTGGACCAGCCCATGGTTGAAAAAGGTTGCTGACCCCGGCTCTAGAATCCCTTACCACTCAGAGATTGGGATGGCATGCAACACTATTCTTGCGCTATAGAACAGGGTTCCCATACATCCTGGAATTCCTAGGCATGTCCTCTTTTGGGGCTACTACATGCCCATCTAGGGGGAATTAAACATTTTAAAGCAAACGTCCTGGATTTGGGGTTTAATAAAAATAATTGTGTGCATTGGCAGCTCTGGTTCAGGATTGAACTCTGCCGTGGAGGAACTCTGCCGGGCTCTGGTTGAGGCGACCCGGGTTGTGGCGTGGCGGCTTCAGCTTGGCGGTAGGGGGCTATCAGGAGACTGCCCTAAAAAAGCTCAATGACTTTTTGTGTCCAGGTTTTTACCCTCTTGAAATATGGCAACCCTATGTGACAACAGCTGCACAGATGTTACTAGCCCAGAGATGGAAGGAAGAAACAACGCGGGAGAGGGAAGAATGGCAAACCAAGTTGATGGACCACGCTGAAATGGCAAAATTAACTGGGAAGCTCAGAAACCAAGACGACAAGAACTTTAAAAAAAGAATGGGGGGGAAATTTTAATAGATCTACATGACCATTGTAAACAGATGAAAACATTAGCAGGATTTTAACCACATTTGTAAAGTAACAAAAACTAGGGCTAATTTAGAGGGACAAAATATTTGGATAATGAATTGATATGCAGGTGTAAATATTAGCATTAGGACCCATGGAGGGGGTGGGAGGAAGTTGTGAGATTCAGAGTAATCTCTGTATATGGACTTAAAAATGATTTTGTTATATGTTGTTTATTTTTTAAAATCAAACAAAAATTATTATTTTTTTAAAAAAAAGACATATGGCAACCCTACTACAGAATAATAATAATACTTCATGTAGGTGGTTTCAAAGGTTCTCAATAATAGTTTCCAGGGACTTACCTAAAGCTCTTGTAAGGTGTGATTATTTCAAAAGATTGTTTGGCTGTGCGGTCTACCTGTCTCACATTGGCTACGTTCATGGGGATTATAGTGATGCCATATCCAAGTTTAAAATCCTAGAAATGGGTGTGGAGAGGGAACAGATAATTATGAAACGGCATATAATAGCTTTTAACAACAGTGATTTACAAAGAATGAGGGAAGGCAGTATTTGCCCATTCAGCTCCAGGGGACCTTGCTTGTCTTCCTGGGAAACACCTGTATCAAAGATCAATTCATTGGGAAGACAAGGAGGAAGCTGTTGTGATTCCCTTCAGGACTGGATCCATTGAGCTATAAA